TCTCTAATTTCTAACCCTAACCCTAAAAATAATTAGGGGTGGTGATGATCACCACCGGTTATTTTAAGTATATTTCTAATTTAAAATTATAATTTTATAATATAAATATAATAAATTTCTCTAATCAATTATATTGTAAAAATTAATTTGTTAGTGGATGAGTTTAGAGGTTCGGTTAAATATAAAAATTTTATAATAATATGCAGTTAAATCATAGTCTCCAATCAAATTAAATATAAAAATTAATTTATTAGCCTGTGAGTATGAATATTAATAAAAAATTAAAAATTTTAATACTGTAATATATTATTAAAATAAAACTTCTAACAATTATAAAACTTCTTTAATCAATTATATATAAATTAAATTATTAGGTAGTGAGTATAAAATTTATTTCTAAACTAAAAGCTTTATAATAATCTATAATTACATAAAACATCCTGAATAATTATATACAATTTAATTATTAGATTGTAAGTATTAAATATTTGGAATAATACGTATCAAATATATAATTAAATAAACCTTAACTAATTAATTAAATAATTAGCTAGTGAGTATAAATTTTATTTATAAATTGAAAATTTTATTATAAGTTATAATTATATAAAATTTCTTCAATCAATTATATATACTTATATAAATTATCAGCATGTGGGTATAAAATTAATTTTAAAATAAATTTTTACAAACTATTACTAAACCTAATCTTATATATAAATTGAATTATTAGGCGGTGAGTATAAAATTAATTAATAAGAATTTATTAAGAATTTATTTAAAAATTTATTAAGAATTTATTATTAAGAATTTATTATAATTGATCTTAAATCTGTGAAATGTTTCTTTTTTGTTTATTTACATACAATTCTATTTTAAGCAAAAAATTTTCCAAAAAAGTCAATCTGATGTATCACGAAATTCAAAGCGTTTTGTATATCTCCTTCTCTTGGTCTTGGTCTTACTCTTACTCTTGGTCTTACTCTTAGTATTGGTCTTGGCCCTCAACAAGCAAAAAAAGAATGAATTATTAAAATAATGCTAAATGTATTAGTGAATAGTAAGAAAAATTTTTATCCCTATGCAAATTTAAACTGTAGATTTCTAGATTTTCCATTTTTTGAAATATTTCTCTTGGATTTTTTGCTGCCTAAATTAATCAATAATCTGCAAAATTTTCTTTCTGCTTAAGAACGAAAAAAATTTGTTATGTCTTTATCTCATGATTCCTAAACTGTACTACCCTTATTGTTACATTACTTCTATTATGCATATGTAACTGTTATGCCTTAATACCTTTTTTTGTTTTAGACTGCCCTTTACTGTTACACAACCTCTTACATAATGTAACTTCAAATTTTTTATAAATATTAAAGAGGTAAAAATAACTTTTAAATAGTATATAATTATAATTATTATTTAAAAAAAATTTTCTTTAAATATATTTATTTTTAATAAAAGTAGATCATACATGAATTTATAAAATTTTAGCAGGCAAATTTGCCTGCTTAACTGTACAGTTTAAGGGATAGTTCACATTGTACAGTAGTGATTAAGTTTTTTAAAAAGTTTTTTTTTATGACAATAATTTATAATAAATATCACAATAATTACAGTGCAAACTAATTAATTATATGGACAAAAAAATAATGAATAAGGTTTTAATAGAATTTTTACAATAGCTCACAATAGAAATTCAATACATAATAACTCCTCCTTAACTATAAGCAATAATTCCAGTACAACTAACTCAACTAAATCTGCAGTCACTAGAATAGCAAATAATTTGAAAACAGAATATACAGCAACTTACCATAGAAATTAAAATAATTTCATTACTAACTTAATTTTTTACTGTGGTCGCTGGAGTGCTAAGTCCTGTAATAGAATTTTTTACACTATCCCATTATCAAAATCATGAATTTCCAATACAAACCATTTCAATCTCAATTACATATTGCTGTTACTGAAATAGTGAGTAAAGTGTTTGCATTTTTTTAAAAGTAATGATAATATCAACTTTAACCACATACAAGGTTACTGGAACAACAAGTTTAGTGACAGAATAATTTTATAGTAACTAAATAAATTATAACAATACAACCTGAGTCTTAACCAGTGTATCTATTGTACAAATAAATTGTGTTATAGAGTTTTTACAGTAAATTGAAATCAAGATAATTCTAATACTGACTAATTCGACTCAAATCACATAATATGTGTACTGTGATAGTTATTAAACTCTGTATAAGATGGGTGGCACTTCATGCCACCTGTTGAACTAGTAAAAATATAACATTATGCACATCTCTTGTTGAATTCAAAAATTTTAGAGGCCTATCAACTCAAAAATTGCAAAATGCTTAGGTGTTAGCACGTCTTCTATAAGTCGGGATCTTGTACATTTTTAAAGATATGGTTGTATTGGAAAACTTCCATCGCTTTCAGGAAAACCATATGAATGATATAAACTATCTTCTTAAAGTTTTAATAAAAGAAAAACCTGACTGGTACTTGTTTGTGTTATAATCCGAGATGGAACTTTGGTTGGAACATAATATTAGTATTACAACAATTTGGATATACGCACAAAAGGTAATATTTTATATATTTATACATATTTTTATTTTATCCAATTTTATAAAAGGCTCTTTCGTATTAATAGCTTCTAATTCAGGTTCTTTCATGTTAATAATATCCAATTAATTTCTGAATCAGTTGTGGTTACTTCAAACAAGTCAGATTACTCAAAAGTATTTGTCATGGATGATAAAGATTCTAGAGAATCTTTAATTGTTAAATCTACTGTTTCGCTTTGATTGTAATCATAATTTTTAGTGACACATACTAATTAAGTCTTGATTTTTTGGAATATCGACTTTAGTTGAATTTTTAGTCCAATCGACGAATTCTTGATCGTATCTAACTTTTTTAATACTAGCACCTATTTGTCTAAAATATTTACTATAAAAGCTAATCTGGAGCCTCTTTTAGATTTATTGTCAAGTTTTATTGGTTGACAAGAACAATATTTCCACAAACATTTGCACAAATTATTTGTACGTAGAACAGGTATTATATTTATTATGGTAATTTTTGAAATTGTAGATATATTGATTTCAATGAATAAAAATAAAACGAATTCAAAAATATATTTAATTTATGACATAGATATTATATCAATATTACAGTAAATTAAAATTGAACGAATTCAAAAATATATTTTTTATATATACCGAATATGCCGAAAAAATTACCGCCCGAAAATTTTTTTCGGCTAATTTTTTATAGGTGTCCCAGGAATAATGAAAACGGCTGTAAAAGACACAATATGTCCACATCCGAAAAAGCAATATTTCGCGGGGGTTGCATTTAAGTGCAAATTTTTTTACTGTGTCAGAAGGAAGTAGTCGCGATTCTTTACAACAAATCTAAAAAGCGCTTTCTCGACATGCTCTAAAATTGGTTCCACGTAAGGACCTTGTTTGGATGCCGAGAATGAAAATTTATGTGGAATTCGTGATGATAAGTCGTCCTCCTTCTCTTCTTTTACTTTCTGTCCATTTAGTGGATTTATTTTCTGAGCTTCTTTAATGTCTGTAGAAACTTCATGTTCACTTACGATATTGTTTGAGTTTTGCGTTTGTGCGGAACCTGCTTCATAAGAGACATTGTACTAAACAACACGAGCTTTTTTGAACATAGCTTGCTCAACAATCTTTAAATTTTTCTCCTTCTCTTTCTCAAAATTATTAACATTAACCCACGCATTTAGAGATTCGTATCCTTCATGTACAGATTCGTCATTTTTCATCAAAGCTTGTAATGAAGACATCAAAAAATTTATTCTAAAAATTTTATTAAGATTTAAATCGACTTTCTCCTTTTATTATTGTTCAAGTTTACGAACTCTTTTCAGAATTATTTTATTTAAGGCCTGTCTTTTTTTTTTTTTACGGGAGGATTTAACTTAAGCAGATGTTCGATAGTCGCTTCAAATGTTTCTTTAACGTTATCTTTGAGATTTCCTCTGAGCCACTTTGATAGTTTAGTCATTGTAAAAAATATTGCACGTAACGTCGATGGTCAAACGCGATAATTCTTGGCGCGTAATTTTATATAAGATCTCAGGTAACTATTAGAAGAAATCTGATTGGTGCATCTAAAATTATCCAACAATAGCTTATGAAAAATCTATTTTAAACAAATAAAAAAAGTACACAAGAACTCTCCTATTTTTCTTACCGTTAATATCATTTTTGGGCTCTTTAGTACTTTGGCATAATACCTTCCGCGAAGCCAAGAAATACTCTTCGTATTTTGGTAGGTGGGTAAAACTGATTAATGCCTCTGGCATTTAGTCAGTGTTGAGAAGCCGAGAAACATTTCTATGTTTCGGTAGGCAGATCGGGGCGGGTGCCAGGGAAACTGAAAAAATATGCGTAACGCATGTTTCATAGGTGGATAAGTCGAAAAAACATGTTTCATAGATGGATTACTGGTGGAAACCGAAAAAATATGCTCTGTATATTTCGTAGATGGAAAAGACGAAATCGAAGCCAAAAAAAACGCTGTTTTCGTAGGTGGAGATAGTAGTATGGGAACTTGTATTAACCAAATGTACTATTTTTTGACCTGACAAATACACATTCACGCCTCATCAAGATAAAAGGTTATTGACCAAAACAGTATTAAAGAGGAACTTGAAAAGGGTATTTATTGTTTCAAACAAAATATAAGATACATATATGCCAAACGTGTATTTTTTATGTGAAAATTACAATTTTATTAATATATATGTTGTGCCTCAGACTAACGCTTACCTCAGATCACAGCTGACGCACTTCAGGTGTAAATTGTCAGATGAGGTGCGTAAACTTATATGTATAGAATAAAAAAGTATATTATTGAAATTGAACGTGTTGGGAAGACTTAAACATGAAAAATATGCAGCGAAAATTTAAGCAAAAAAAAAAAAACTGTAATAGAAAAAAAAGTATATATTAATTGGAAATCGAAAATTCAGGCAAAGAAATTCAAAGAAAAGAACGAAGATGCTGAAGAGATTCAAGAAAACACGGATAAAAAAGAGCCAAGTCAAAAGTCTTTTATTCAATTTATTTTACTCTTACTTTTGCCAGATTGCAGCTTAAATGACAGATCAATAGCGCACCTCACCTGATGAACTGCATCTGAGGTGCGTCTGCTGTGATCTGAGGTAAGCGTTAGTTTGAGGCACAACATATATATTTTTTAACATATAATCGAGAATTAGTTATTTGGCTGGCCAAAATAACAATGGATAGAAGTGGAGATTAGGCCCGGATAAGGATTACCCGTATAAGCACTCTTACAGCTATTAGCCGAATGATTGTTTGGCCGATTCGGTTAAGTTAGTGATTTCGGCATGATCCATTATATAATAGGAACTCTACAATGTTATGAATTTTTTTTTTGTAAATTTTTGAATGTTAAGGAGTTACGATTTTGGATGTCTTTAGATATTTTTACTGAAAACAGGTTATAGTTATTTATGTTATTTGTAAAAACACTTTGCGGAAAACAGCAATGAGCATGTCATGCAAATATTTGACACCTAAGATCCAGGCTTGAGTACGATTGAACTTTTTACACTTACACAAAATAATCCGGTTTCAGAAAAATTTGAAGACTGACCAAAAGCACAGTTTAATATTTTATTAGCCAAGTGGATTGTTTCCTTTTTCAACGTTGAAAGCAAAGCATTAATTGCTTTGCTACAATATCTTAACACTAGTCTTGAGTTATCATCACATGAAACAATTACAAAATTCTTTATTTTAATAAGTGATGTTTAAAAAAGACTTTCTTTAAAAAAAGATATATGTTTGTAAATGTATTTGCGCTAAGATAATTGAAAAATAATTTTTTTTATGATAATAAATTGGAGCCGCGGTTCTTGACCGGCTCGCTAAAAAATGGCTCAGCTAAAAAGCGGCTCAGCTTCATTATTGGGAGCCGTAACCGAGCCGGAGCCAACCGTTTGCATCACTACTTGTGGTCTTGAACAGAGTGAAACATGGATTGCAAAACTTAGTAAATCCGCTACATAGATTGGGTTAGGTGAAATCCGCGTTTTTTATTATAAAAACAATTTTACTAGCTCGCAACTCAAGTTTCACCCTATCGTAATATTTTATATTATGGGCATAATACCCCGATCACTATATCAAGATCACGGGGTATTATTATTACTAACAAAGAATATTAAGCCATTCAAGTTTAATTTAGTACACAAGCATAAATACTTAAAATAAGATATTCATATTCAAGGATACAGTATTTATCATTAATTTTATTTTATTCGGTGATTTATTTAATTATTTCTTTATTTTTAAAATACGGTATTCTAATATATATTATATGGTCGCATTTTTCTATTCGATTCGCAATCGCATAATTTGCTGCATAATTCTACGTAGTCCTAGTAATATTGAATAAATTATAGTTATTGTATGGGTATGTGGTAAATAACCCAGTTACACACGGGTTCATATTCCGTGCCGAAGGCACGGATTTAAATATGAACCCGTGTGTGTAACTGGGTTATTCAACATACCCATACAATAGCACGGTGTCTGACGTAACAATCCCGTGCCAATAAGTAAATGAAAAAAGCACGGGTTGTCACATAAGACCCGTACAATAATGAATATTAAGGACGTAAAACTTACTTTATTGATACATCTAAAATTAAGCACGTGCTCCGCATTAAATGATAATCTACATAAGAAATAGCATTGGTAACTGGTTACGTTAATTTTAATCAAAATCATTAATGTCCTCTACAACTTGTGAAAAAAAATTAACTAAACGTCAACAAAAATCTTTAGCATTTCGAAAAAATCAAAGAAAAAAATCTAAGCTAATTACAGATAAAGTTGAAAAGAATGATTTTATCGAAATTGATAATAAAATAGTAGAATCAGAAAAAAGTAGAAAGAGGAAGGATATAAAAGAGGTGGATGAATTAAAAGTAGAAAAGAAAAAACAGAAAAGACTTAAAAATAATAAAGAGGGTCAAGAGGCTGAAGAGGATACTAGTGTAAATGATGTTGAAAACTTAGATAAATCAATAAAAGAAAAAAATTATTTAAGTGAACAATTAGATAGTGATCAAAATGATAAATGTGAAGATATAGAAGACAGAATTGTACAAGATAATCAAGAAAAAGATGGGTCAAATAATAAATTAAAAAATAAATCGTCACCAAGATTTGTCATCTTTGTTGGTTTGTATTATGTTATATATGTTATATGTTATACTCTTTTTTTTTTTTTTTGTACTTTCCATGCAAATTAATAAAATTCAAATTTATTATCAAAGCTAATTTACCATATAACACAAAAAGTGAAGAATTATCAAAGCATTTTGAATCTGCGGGTATGTATTGTAAACGACTATTTATATTTCATTTCTTTAATAAGTTACCAACATCTTTAATTCATGCATCTAATTAGGTGTTCCTATATCTATCCGTCTAATTACTGATAAAAATACAAAAAAACAAAAGGGATTCGCTTTTATTGAATTTGATAATCCACAATCTATGAAGAAAGCTTTGTTATTTCATCATACAAATTTCAAGAATAGACAGGTATAAAATTACACATAAAAGAAAGTTTACTTACTATAAATTCACTGACTTATATTGATTTTCTTAGATAAGAGTTGAACTAACTGCTGGTGGTGGCGGTAATAAAAGTGAAATTCGTCGTAAAAAACTTGAACAAAAGAAAAAGAAATTAGTAGACGAAAGAGTCAGCATCTATAATTTTTTTTTTTTTCAAAACATTCATTTATGAATTAACAGTCATTAATCTTTTCTAAATTTATAGCGCAAGCTTCATAAGACTTATATTGCACCAAAGTCTAAGCGTCCTAAAGATATTAATCGTAATGAATCAACTTCAATATTAAAAACTACTTCTCAACCTAATAATAAGGTACAAACTAAAGTTAAGAAACCAAGGTTGACGAGTTCAAATAATATTAAAGTTAAGAAACCAAGATTGACAAGTTCAAATACTATTAAACTTAATAATGCTAGAGCTTTTGGATAATATAGTGCTTTAATACAATTCTATTATTATTAATGTTACATAAATGTATGATGGGCTAGTTTTTATTATCATATACATCTAAGTAATTAAAATCATCTATCTCAAATGATTATATTACAATTATTTAAAATCTCAGAATTTCTAAATGGCTTATATATATAATTGTGATCTAACACTGTATCAAAAAATAAAAACTATAATTGTGTTCCAATATATAACAAATAAAAACCAAATTTTATCAACACTATAAATCTATCTATATTAAACCGCGTTTTTTCATCTTTACACATAAATTCGGCATATAAATTTCCGCAAACGAAGATAAATAATACTATTATAAAAAGAAGGAATTAATTAAATAAATAATGTGATATAATAAAATATTCAATATTCATGTAGAATTAATGCTCACCTCGTGTTCTGAATTGTGTGGTCCAACGAAATTGTGTGCCAACTCATGACAAAACGTCATAAACCAATATAATATGGTATCAGCAGATGGCCTGTTAGATTCAGTCTCGTCATGTAATCCAAGATAGAATCGAAAGTTGAAAAACAATGCTTTGCCACGATTGAATGCAATTGAGTTCGAAGTAGTATCGTAAAATATATGAATTGCATTTTGTGGAACTGCAAAGACTTCACCCAAATCCTTGAGAATGTTGATAAATCGGGGTAAAGATGGTGTTTTAAAAATTTCTAGATTGTTCAAATTTATTTCGATATAAAGTTCAATTCCATTATAGTTGCCTACGTAGTTGAGCGAATGCCCTATTTTGATCGATAAAAATTAATTTGTTTACCTAGAATTTGTTTTAATTATAATGATAATAAAAATACCTGGCAAAACGTCACAATAACTTGTTTGACTTTCAGAAACAATATTAATTCCCCCTTGACTATTTACCGAAGCCCCTGAATTAGGACGACAAGACCTGACAGCATCTTTTAGCGCATTACGAAGATTTTGGGTAGATTGTGGTGTAACCTCAATAGGTTGGGTAGTCTGTGTCTTTTGTGATTGTTTCTGAGTTTCGATAGGTTGGGTAATCTGTGTCTTTTGTGGTTGTTTCTGAGTCTCGATAGGTTGAGTAGGCTGTGAATTTTGTGGTTGTTTCTGGACTAATGCTGGTTTCTGTGATTCGCTACTGGTCGATGTAGAATTTGTTGGCAAAAGATCAGATAATGATTTAAAAATACTCCCACTCCAGCCAGATTTTTTTGTCCCCGGTCTACCATCCTCGTTGTCAGAAAGTCCGTTCGGCTGGGGTTTAGGTTCAATCTCCGGATACTTTGATTCTGCCAACTTATTAGCAACTTTCTGTAAATGATCAGTCTTTTCTTGAGCTAAACATTGACGAATATAATTTGGATCACATTTTGGAAATAATTCCTGCAATTGAATAGCATATTCTTCAATTTCTGGTGCAAGCTTTATAGGAAAAACATTCGAACTCGGATTGGGACCAGCTTGCGGTTGGACTTCAGGAGTTGTAGGAGGTTTTGGAGGCTTTGGAGTTTCATATTTCTCAGCAATGCCCATCGGTTTTTTATAACTTAACATGATACGGTCAACTGGATATCCTTTGCGCTTTAAACTATCTAAGGGCGTGGTCAATAACATTGCCAAATGAGAAATATCTTTCCATTTACACTTCCTAAAAATGTGTTTTCCGAGGTTCGTCGCAATGTCGAGATAGTCTGGCTCACCAGAAGTGACATATAAAGTCCATGAGTTATTAAATCGCGTATCTTTAAGAATATATGAATATATTGGTTCAACTTTTGTTTGATTATTAGTTATAAGCTCATAAGTAGCCTCAATCTGATCGATCTCCATGACTTTTAACTTCTGAACCCAATCGATTGATTGCTTAACTTCAGTTCGGTGAATATCATGATAAAATAACTGAGCCCTTTCTCTAATTGTTTTTTGCAATTTCGCGGAACCTGTAGAAGCCATCGGATTGCCTTTTACTTGTACGCTTGCTCTAACATTAGCAGACAACGAACGACTTCCTAACATCTTTATTTTTTTTAAAAAAAAAAAGATTTTATAAATTTTATTAACTTTTTTCAATAAAATAATGTGTAATAATCGTACCTTATAAAAATTTTCCAAAATCTCTTCCATAGGCGCAGTCAACGGATTAAAAACATGCTGAAAATTTGTATCATCATTTATAAAAATATCTTTTGCGGGAGCCAAAACATAATGGTCAATCTCCTGTCCTTTATAATCAAAATTTTCCTTGTCCGCTGCAATTTCTTTCTTTTTTATGCCAATTAATATAGGGGCGCGACTCATGTCGGCAAGTAACGATCGATTTCTAGAAATAGTATTGGAATTGACTGCAATATTACGAAGAACAGTGAGATATTTTTCCACATTATCGCCGACAGAATTCCAAAATTCTTGCGAAGACTTCACGAGGAATTCGGCAAATTCTGCTGGAGATGGCTCAGCTTTAACACCACAACCGAGCAAAAATTTATTTGCTTTTTCTCCAAAATCTACATATGAAAAGAATTCGGAATAGCTAAATCCATAAATGAAAATATTAGCAAAATTATAACAAGAATAAAGAAAGGAAATTTTTTGAAGTATAAAAATAATAAAAAGAACCTACGTTTCATCAGAGCCCTTGAAAAAGCAACTTCTTGGTGTGACATATTTTATCAAATTAGTCTGAGCTTTGTCTCTGATTGGAATAAAATTGAGATCTTTAAGCGTTGACCAATCTGTATGATTAAAATCTCCCAATCGAGATGCCAAGTAACCAAACATATATTTAGCCCTTTGCTCATTTTCAGGTGGATTTTGGATTAATCTATTCAAGAGTTGTTCACGGCTTGGATGTTGTCTGATACCCAATTCGTCAGCACGAAAACGTAAATCTTGGTGTAATGCATTAAAATTCATTATTGTGCATTCAGGGCTGGAAAAACAGCCCTTTGGTGTCTCATAGATTTTAGGATCGATACATGGCAAAAATGCCAATTTTATTTCTTCAGCCTTATACTCAGAAGAATATTTATCTTTAAAATTGTCCATAAAATATTTCAGAGCTTTGCTCCTTAATACCGTATCTGAATTAGAGACATCAGCAAGTTGGAGAATAACTTTAAGCGGTGGATATTCTCGCAAACCCAATGACAAAAGAAATTTCGCTAGAAATAGAAATTTTAAGGTGAATTAACATTAACAATTATTTAAAAAAATTTAAATGCATTATAGCATAAAGTACGCAAACGAATACCTTCTTCACTGTTTTTCCGCCATTTGCCGTTCCATTCAATTAAAGGCATCCCAAATTCTTTCATTTCAGCTAATGGTGCATATAGGTCACTTGCTAAGAACCTATGAACCTTTGGCTTGGATTTAATATCATCGCCGTTTAATGAAGTTTCGTGTTTCGTATTTTGTTCTTTTGGCCAAATCGCGGTAACCTTCAGTCTTTTCAACTCGATTTCTTTGAGGTTGTTAGATACTGAAGCAAGGTATTTAACAAGTTGCATGTGATCCCAATTTCCTTGACTAACCAGGCGATCGAAAATGAGTTGCAATTCGACATGCTATTTACAAATTTCCTTACTCTCATTAGATGGGCACATAAAAAAATGGATTTAACTTTAAAGAAGATCAATCCTTACTTTCCGAACTCCCAATTTTTGTAACAACTTTTCGACGATTTTAACATTCTGGAAGTTAATAATTGGTAGATCCGGGAAGAGGTCTACATTTGGGAAGTACGAATCGTCCGGTATTTTCAATCCGTGCTTTGTAGGAATACACTTTTTTTCAACAAGCAACTGTTTGATCGTATTCTGGTCGTTTGATGAACATTTCTGATAACTTCTTGCAATGATTCCAAGAACCTTCTCCGCAAAGTCGGGATCATTTTCTAGCTGTGGTTTGGTCGTGATGTATTGTGTCCAGGTAGCAAGTGAAAGTTCTTTCCATCCACTAAAAAAATAATAATAATAAGAAAATAAATGAAAAAGCAGAAAATTATATAATAGCCTGTAAGAACGAAATGTATACATAAAAGATACTAATAAAAGATATCTATTTACCCGAACCACTTTTCGAGATCATTTTTTTGAAATGATTTACTTATTGAATAAGGCAAAACATTAGATGGAACTTCGTAATCCGGCGGAATCACAGCAGGATTTAACCAATGTTGAATTTTATTTAATGGTATCACATTGTCATCAATACAAACTACGGCAAGTTTTAATAGTTGTTGAACATCTGATTCTGAAACTTGTTCTTTGGTTCGATAACCTATCCACCACTTCATCAGCGCCACTGTGTCCTCTTGTGAAAGAGTGCGGTTTTGTAATTCATTAAAGACATCGCCGAGTGAAATATCTTTAATAATGTTCATCTTATTTCTAGCTTTTTTAATAAAAACATCACATTGTTCCATGACAATTTTGGGAATTGTGGGAATAGTTTTAATGAAAGTCGCCATTTCTGAGTTAGGCATTCGTACAAAGTTAATTGGTTGAACACCAATAGTTGACATAATAGATAAGGGCTGCGAAGCACAATTTAAAAATTGAGACTCAATAATTTGGCCAACGTGTGGATTAGGTGTGCTAGGTTTAAACGTAAAATGAGAAAGTGCATGTGCAGCTCGTTTTTCAAGCCACTCACGCGCCGAATTAGTAGCTTTATCAGCCTTTGCGTTTGAACCAACTATTTCTTTGTAAATTTTAGATATTTGAATTATTTCATCTTCGTACAATATTCTTGACAGAATCCCAGCGAGACATAACATTTCATTGTTATAAACAGCAAGAGTTTTATCGACTAGATCAATAGATTCGCGCTCAACCTATCAAATTACAAATAATATGAAATTAAGAATAGACAGAACTTTAGCACAATTGGACATACGTCAAGTTCATTCAACAATGAATACTTACTGTTGGAATTAAGCGGGCCGCCAAATGAGAACTGCAACCAGTTGTCTGGTGTGTAGGAAATCCGATAAAGATTCTACCTTGTTCAGGAAATGGTAATAAATTTTTAAATATCCCGGATATTTTCTTATTTTTATCTTCAGAAAAATACTGTTCGTCATATCCAGTAAATATCATCTGAACAGTAGTTTGACTCGGTGGTTTCTTTTTTGTTGTACGCTCCATATCTGCCGAAAATGCTCTGGATACTCGTACATCTAAATGGCCACTAGCGACTCGAAGAAATATGGATGTTTCTTCCGTCGGATAATCATTCAAAGTCGATCTCGTTAAAGAAAATTTTGATGGAATAATTGTCCTCTCGACATCTAATTGCACATTCCGTACATCAACAGATCTTAAATTGAACATTCTTTCTGGCGATGTCGTATTTAAGCCAGAGAATATAGTCATAGTCCTTGGATCCGACATTTTTTTTGTGATGCGTATAATCCTTTTATCATTGAAATACACGGATACTTCGCGAAGATTTCCCGTGAAACCCTATGAATAATGTTACCGTGATTTATAAGTTATCCATACATATAGATGAATGTACAAACAAGAATTAACACTTTTAAATGTTAAGATTTCTTACTAGCGATGTGGCCAAAAATCGACCAAAATCTTCGGCGTTTGGAAACTAGTATAAAGAAAATTTTTATTTTATATTATTGAAAACTCAAGCCAGATTATTGAAAGAACTAATAAAATTATATACCTCCGCATGATCTCTCATATCCATAAGAAAAGTTGTCCATGTTTGATCTTCTTGATTAATGACAGCGCGTTTAGCAAATAACTGATCGCCTTTCCAATAAAATGCCATGCCTTGACCTCCCGAGGATACACTATCATAGTTTAAAAAAATTACAATTAAAATAAGATACGCCGAAAAATATATATATATGCTAGTTACGCCAATTACAATAGCACTTACAATGGCTCTTCACAAACAGAAAACAATGAATAGAATCCAACTCCAAAAGCACCGATCTATATAATACCATTAAAAAGCATATAGTTAGGTTGGAAATGAATCAATATAATGCACATATAAAAAGTTAACTAAAACCTTTTGTTCATCAGGATTCCCTTCAGCAATTTTCTTTAATCGACTCCAATCTTCAGGACGGAACGCGAAGCCATTATTTTTAAATAATATTCTTACACACTTATCTTTTAATATATTGGATTTTTCTGCACTTTTGTTCTGAGTTTCATATATAATTTCTACACTAGAAGACTTTGCGTCGTCTGAAATAATAATAGATCGATATTTGAATTTCGTAATCTTTTAGAGTAGTCAGATATTTAGATATTATTACCATAACTAATTACCTGCATTTTGCATTAGCTCCCGGAATACTACAAACTCTGCCGAATACCTGCACCAAATTTTAAAGATTTAATTGAGTTTGCCTAAATTCGAAACGTTTTATGTTTAAACCAAAGTACCTCGCCAAGATCTTATCAATTAAGTGCCTTTGATTAACCTCAACCCGCTCTTCACCAGCAGTGTGAGAGAGAACTTGTTTACGAAGTTCATCCATGAATTATGAATTTTAAATTAAATTTTCGATTTTTTATAATCGAATTGAATGTTTGGACGTATTTATATTTTTCTGTATGCATTACCCGGTACAAATTTCTGTATTGCATTTCATAAGCCTCGATCACGTGAATAACGCGTAATTTGATTGTTCCCTATATCTAGACTGCATTCATAATCACCTATCGGTAAGACAAAGCATCTTGAATTTTCTAGCACCACACGCAAGCCAATTACATGTCCAAATTTATGTTCTTACGTAAGATTTAGATGTACAAAAAAGCACGCGAACTTTATTTTTATCACTTAAATATTTCCGCAGTTGTAACAGAAATTATCACATATAAAGAACAATGGAATTAACATATTTAACGTTAATGATTTGCCTAGCCAAATAAAGCTTTATTCTGTAATATAATTTTGAATATATTAGGATAACAATGATTATAACCTTATGGGAAAGAACTTACGCAACATCAGTAAGTCTCATACACGTAAACCTTCTTCGTTAGATCTTTTTTTGAATATTAGACAACTTTCTACTAAAAAGGTAAGTACATTCATGAATGAGCACAAAAACATACAACCAACTATTTCATATGCTAAAACCGGTTTTAATCATATGCAATTTTTTAATGAACTCAACAAAGAACCTACTATTTATATTTCTTGCAATATTCAACTTTAATTAATTCTATTATTCTCTTTACGTCTTTATAATCTACAACGTACACTTTAAACTTCGCAGAAACGATTACTGCAGGATCTATTATTTACCAAGTGGTAGAAGGACCCTTGGATTCCTAAAGATGAATTAAAAAGCGTTATAATTTTGTAGAACAAATTAACCAGGGTTCTATACGATGTGAGTCACTTCACGAGGTTCTTTCAGAAATAGGCTAATAAACTATAAGCAAAATGCAAAATTGATTTAGAATGATGAGCATGCATACAGTAGGGTAGGTAAAGTTGGTTTAGGTTCCAAAACCTTTAGGTTTCATTTTATAAACCTAAGAACCAGGTTTTTATAAACTAGATCCCAAATCTAAGTCAAACTTGGTTTGGTGGTTCTAGAACTTGATTCTGAAGCCTGGTTCCGCTTAGTTCTAGAACCTATTGCATTTTAAATTAGTGTATTTTCAGATATAACCTGTAGATTTTCATATAACAGTAAATTATTTCCATTCCTTCTTAATTCAAATATATCGATATAATTATACAAGTAAAACCTTCATAAGTGCATTCTTTATAAGTGTACACCTCTCTAAATGCATGCTCAAGTCTTGTCTAAATATATAAATAACCTCTATAAGAACACCTTTTTTTATTGTTCTTTATGTGCATATTATTAAAGTTTGGCCCAAGTGCATACACTTATAGAGATTTTGCTGTATATTATATATAAAACCTAACCCAAACCTAAGAATCTAGGTTCGAAAATTAGAACCTGGTTTTTAAAACCAAATTCCAAAACCAGGTTTCAAGGTTCCGAATCTAAGAACTTTACCAACTCTAGCATACATCCAAAGATGCAAGCATAATAGTTTAGCCATTTTATGTCACGCCTACAGGATAATTTTCCCGATGCGTGAGGTTGTTTAACCCGTAAACTTATGCTTAATCCTGTGTGGCTAGTGTTGGCACTAGACATACTGTATGTCCAATTATTTTTAGCTCTATTGGATTGAAAAAATATGGGCAGCCGTCAATAGAAATCAAGCAAATCTACATTTGAAAAAAAATCAATGCCTTAACTTTCACAGCTCATATCTCGATGAATTTTAAAGTTATCTTGATGATTTAATATTCAAAAGAAAGCTTATAGTCTAAGCTTTCTTTTGAATATTAAATCATCAATATAGCTATAAAACTCATCGAGATATGAGCTGTGAAAGTTAAGGCGTTGATTTTTTTTCAAATGTAGATTTGCTTGATTTCTATTGACGACTGCCCATATCATTTTTTTAAAATTTTAAGTGAATATATCTCCAATAGCTATTTAATGAAATTTAATAAAAAATTTTTTATTTATATGTAGAATTTAAATAAAAAATTCTATTAAATTTTATCAAAACAATTGTTGAAATACTGTATAATTTTTTTAAAGGTTTAAAAAATATTTAAAATATTTATAAGATTAGAGCAGCAGATATTTTTTCAAATTTAAGAGAAAATATTTTACTAACCATTTGATAAAATTTTAATTACCTGATCTTTACAAATTTGCAAATTCAAATTAAAAAAAAATTTCTAAATTTAATTAATTAGCACTGGTCGAAATAGGCAAATATCACATGATATGGCACTGCGAATCGTGTTATTTCTAGGTTCATATCGGAACTGATAGAGCTATCAGTAAAATTATAAAAACTATCAGGTTTCTGATATTTAACCAATAGCTCTATTAATCAGTGTCATATCGGGACTAAAAAAGTTATGATATTTGCCCGATAGGCTTTATTTCGACTAGTGATAGTTGTTGAGATATATTTGCTAAAGTTTTAAAAAGATTAATTTTATAGATTGATAAATTGGTTTGAATTTTAAATAAAAATATTTTAAAACTACAGTTAATTCCCTCTAAGTGCATGTTTTCTAAGTACAGATCATATTAAATTCTCTTTAAAATGCAGGTTTTTTTTAGTTCCAAGCTATATAAAGTTTTAATAAACTTATATTTTCTAAATACAGGTTCTCTTTAAGTGCAAGATTTTTTTTTTTTACTTAAGAAAATTTTCTAAGTCCCAGCAAGCTGCACTTAGAGAGAGTCGACTGTATTTTATAAAATTTAATAAAATTTTGAATTTAGAGTTAGGCTAGGTTAGAGTTGGGGTTAAGAGTAGGGTGCTTTAGCAAAAAGGCTTTAATTCAAAATTTTGTAAGGAATTTTTTGGTAGAGTACAAATAATAATTTTATAGAAAAGGTTTTATGCTATAGGCAATTTTTTTTAATTACTTCGATTTTACATTATCTGATCCTGCATTTTAATTGGTTGATCAGGGGTAGCAATACATTATCCTACTGTATATTTTTGATAATAAAGCTCTATAAATTGAAATTATTAGCCAATTATACAAAAGCCCTCTTATAGGATTGCTACTAAAGTCTATATCAAAATTACTGAATTATTGGTTGGGCACTTTTACTTAATGCTATATACTGTATATACAGTACAGTACGTAGTAAAATTTGTAATCTTAACCCAGCCGGCTATGATTCCATAAAATTTTTTGTATTATACAAAATTATATCAGAGATTTACACAAAATTTTGTTCTGACTTGCTCGTCTTTTATATTCATTCGGATCCCTTTATGTCTCTTAATTTCAGAACATCGCTTGGCCTTATTAGCCAATCAAATTTTGTATATATCACGTGAATTTTATTCATTATTAATTTTAATAAATTTTTACTCCAATGCATTCACACCCAAAATTTTGGAATCATTGTACGTACGGGTGATTAGGTTAGGCTTTTATGTATGATTTCATAATACGTAACAATAACAACTTGATAAAATTGGAATAAAATATGCATATGGTTAGGGACTTAAATCTGAAGATTATACGTACATGTGATAATGATATATGTACCGATTTTGATCAATTTAAATTTACCACTACAACAATAATGGGCTGCTTATTCATTATATAGTTATTTAAAAACAGACATACTGATTCCGTATCTTGTGATCACCCGGTAACGTAATTTAAAGTTTATTTGACGTGCTTATTTAGAACATAAATTTTATTATGAGGGGTATTTAAAAGTATATATAGATTTTTGACTCAATTTCGCAGTATGTAAAATAAGACGATCCATAAAATTATGTTTTGTGTATTGGCTCAAGAATTTATTCCCAGGGTTTAGTTTGAACTGTTTGATAAATTCAAATTGTAAAATACCCTGAAAATTGAATGAATTAAAAAAAAATTGATTCTTTAAAAATTATAACCATTATAACATACATAGTTAAGAAAAAGATACAAAGATCCGTTTAGCTTAGTAAAAATATAGCAACGAATCTTTGTATTATAAAAAAGACATAAGAGTGAAAATCGCTTCTGATATAGTAACGATTTTTCTATAATCAAATACGTATAAGAAATTGGATCTTAACTGATATGCATTTGCCTATAAAAGGACAAATCTGTTGATTTTTGAATTAGCATAAAATTACTGATTCTATAGACTTGAATTATGTTTGAATTCATGTATTCAAAAAGAACCGAACTAAAAATAAGCATAAATTCTATAAATAAATATATGTCGATATTATAATATATTATATTTGTAAGCTATGAATACAAATGTATGTATGTATAAATTTATAAACTACACCAAGTTTGTTCAATAATATATACCACAATCTAACCCAGTCTAACTTATAACTACATGAGAACAGTAAAAAATTACATTGTTATTTATCATTAAACTAAATATTGTTTGATGCATAAACCTATGGTAGGATAGTCTCTCTCTAAGCAAAAAAATGGGTATTCTTTTTGCTGTCTTCGTGAACTTGCATCTCAATCAACTTGAACTCATTTAACTCTTGCTTAATCTTTTGAGCAAGGAGAGGAGTGAGCTTGTTGCAAGTTGACTGGTCACCTCGACGATCGTAATCATCAGGCGTCCAAGTCTCATGTACAAGAATATTTGAAGAAAATTGAAGTTTTTTCAAAGTAGATGGAGTTAGAGGAAGATCATTATCTCTTCCAGTAACAAGCGAAGGTACAGAACGAGATGCACTTGTGTTCAGATTAAGATATGGTTTGTTGGCTTTAATAGTAGCAATATAAGAAGGAACATTATGCCTTTCAAGAGTACCGATAGAAGGTGTACCAGTTTTGGATGATTGAGATGCTGGCAATGAATTTAATTGACTTTGAGTAATATGTTGATTATTGACGCAATCTTCAGATAGAGAACCCTGACTGATTGGATCGGACTTGTTGGAAATTTGTGGTTGATACTGAGTTTGTAATTGTATTGTCGGATGTTTATAGCGATTGTTGTTTCGTGAGTTTCGTGATGGCAATGATGAAAATCGAGGAGGAATAGACGCTACATTATTTTATTACAATACAAAATTAAATTCTGAATGAATTATTTTAAGGATCGCAAAAAAAATTTAAACTTTACCCTTTTTGAAGAGCACCATAGAATTACGTTCTCTCTTTGGTTTATTTTCATTCTTTTGTTTGTCTCCATTTTTAATGTCTTCAGAAGGATTTCCATCCTTGGAATTCCGCTTTTTATCTTCAGATCGCTTTTTTTGATTAGAACAGCGGTCTGAAGATGAAGTTCGAAATTGTCGTTGTTCTTGTTGTGAAGGTTGACGCTGATGCTTATGTTCTTTATTTTGTTTCTTATCATTCTTTGCGAATAATGATTGTATATCAATAAATGAACGACGTGATGATGTTGAACCAGTTTTATTATTATTTATTTCAACATCAATATCTCCTTTAATTGGTGATACATCTTTATCAACATTGCTATTCTTAATAGTTTGCTTTATATTATTATTTTTATTATTGTCATTTAAATTATTTATGTGATTTTTTCCCCTTACTCGAAGAGATGAAAACTTAGGTTTAACAACAGAAGCACTCGGAGGTGAAGGTGAACCTGAATTTGACGTTGATGAACTAAGTTGAGTAACATCATCTTGTTTAATATTATTTAGACTAAATACTCTCTTTAAACGCTTCGTAAAAGATTTCCGGAGGTCATTTGTATGATTGAAAGATGATTGATTAGATGATTGTTGTCCTGCTGCGTTCTGAAATTTGGACGCAACAGCACTATCAGTAGAGGTAGCAATATTTGATTTAATATCATCATTTTTTGATTGTGAAATTTCTTTAGAATGTTTTTGATCATGACCTTTAGGTGAAGCTAATTCTAGGTGCTGATTTGCCGGTAGTGGAATACATTTTTTGTTATCTTGATCAGGTGTAGACAATTTCTCTTCCACGGTTTTTTGTTGAACTTTTTTAGTAGAGTCCCCAAATTTTTGGTTTTGATCTAATTGGCTAGGTAACCGTTGTTGATCTATAGATTGTGATGACCTTTCTTGAACTATGTGTTGCGACGGCTTTTGTGATTGAATAGGCGACTGTTCAGACCCTTGTATTGATTTAGGAGATTTAGAAATTGTTTGTTTATCAACTTTCTGAGAATTGAAATTTTTTGATGGTTGCAATGGTTTATTTTTTCCTAAATCTTCGTTAAAACTCGAAGCTCTCTTTCGAATTTTTTCTGACCGACCTTGTGAGAAAGACTGGTTGTATCCATTACGATTTTGTAAAGGCGACTGTTGCTGCAAATTAGATGAAAAATCACCACAATTCATACTATGATGATGAGATCCCATATTAGCGCTACTACGCACATGTCCTTGTGGTGCGTTACATTGGAAATTCCCAACACCATTTTGTTGTGTCACTGCTGTCTCAAAAATAGGAAGACGAGAAGGTTTTTGCGGATGTGAAGGCAAACATTTTGCTAATGAAACACTTTCATCGTCATATCCCAAAGAATTCAATTTTGGTACGCTTTGTTCGCTTTGATAATTCGCTACAGACACGGCCATTTATAAATGCCGGTGAAAGGCGAGGTAAATGTTATGCTATCAATAGAAATATTCTAATGCTTTTTGGAAAATTTATTTGTTAGAATATTGATTTTAAATTTATGCGCGCAATAGAGAAGAGAGAAGAGTCGGTTTGACAGCATGAAACACTTTAGTAATTCTAACCTTAAAAACTTGACCAAAACATGCGAAGACTTTAAAGTAGCTTCTTTTATTTAGAGCTGTTTAAGAATTTCTTAAGCGTTCAAGTTAATCTAATAACGGTATATGTCACCAAAATCATTAAACATTTAACGAATATCGGTTAAAATCAAATGGAGTCCGCTCGTTGCTCAACTTAATCAACCACTACGCAACTTCGAGCGTATAATAAATATATTATAATAATGTTAGAAGTTTGTGATGGCAAATAGTTAAACCTTTTAAACATGTAGAGAAAAGAAAAAGAAAAATATAGCTAAAACAAAGTGAAAGAAAGAAAGAAAGCGAAGGTAGAGAAGACACAAATTTTATCGTTATTGTTAATACATTTATTTGTGTCTTGTCTCTCAACAATAATGCACAATGTTTAACACACATTTTTGAGGTATCACTAATACCGAAAAAAAACTTTGTGGCGTTAGTATCAAATAATAACAAAGGTGAATTCATATAATAATCTAAATTTTAAAGATAAAGTTGCATTATCTTGTAACATTGAAAGTTCCAAGGCAATTTTGACTTTTTGATTGCGAATTAATTTTACTTAGGCTTATAAAAAGATCTGTTCATTAAACATTTCTATATAAAAATGAGCATCGATTAATTTATTAATAGATTTATTGCTTAACCACCTGCTTTCACGTGATATATATAGATTTTCTGGGATATTCGGCGTAAAATAATGCTAATAATAGATTGTATAACTATTTGTAGCATCTTCGACTATACGCAATACAGCAATGGGGCGCAAAATTTCCGGTGATGTAAACTCTTTGCGTTAGGCACCTCTTGAGTTGGTGGCGCAGTTAACACGCCATAGCAAAATCACGTTAACGAAGATTAACAATGTGCATAATGTTAAAATGATAAGAATAAGCATAATGAATTGTTCGTGCAAATGATACAGTTATAAAATGGTTGAAAAAATAACTTTGAAATGACAAAATTAATTTAATTGATTTTTTGCAACATTCTTGCTCAAATTATGATCTTTTTTATTAACTTTTCTTTTTTACAAGAAGGAATGTTTGAGATCATGGTTTCCCTTTACTTTATTAAAACTAGTGAGTGACTTTTTAGCTCAATCAGACCCCCAGTTAGTATTATATCAAATTCTGCACATGACGACACCTATAATTCTCGTTCCTTTCCCGTACAATGACCAGTTGATAAAATTATTGCTTCCTGTGAATTTGCATATTGAGAAAGCTGTTAACGAAAAGAGATGTTAGAATAAGTAAATACAATACATGATCATTTTATAAATGCTCTACTCCCTTTACCGATTTTCTAAACATACCTAGGTATCCTAATGAGGCAGAATGAACTGCGCTTTCTTCCTCTTCTAATTTTTTAACTTTCCAAAAGTTGGTCACTTCCGAAGATTTTTTTCTCCGCATTAAAGAAAAAAATAAGTGTTCAAAATACAGTACTGTGATACATAGTGCATAAGATGCTGTGGCTAACTAAACTTTAGCCGATCACAAAAGTAACCGCAGATACTCTTGATGGACAAAGCCCAAACCGCAGTTTATCATAAGGGCAACCGCAGATGCCCTTACTTGGTGAAAGCCCTAACTGATTATTACCCGAATCGCAGATCATAACAAGAACAACCGCAAATGCTCTTGCCTGAGTAATATCAGAATGCCACAGCATCAAAAAAAAAAACAAATATTTACCTCAAACAATCTTTTAACTTCTTGGTCACTTTCGAAGATTTTTTCTCCGCATTAAAGAAAAAATAAGGGTTCAAAAATACAGTACAGTGATACATAGTGCATAAGATGCTGTAGCTAACTAAACTTTATCCGATAAAAATAACCGCAGATACTCTTGACGGACAAAGCCCAAACCGCAGTTTATCATAAGGGCAACCGCAGATGCCCTTACTTGGTGAAAGCCCTAACTGATTATTACTCGAACAGATCATGCTCTTGCCTGAGTAATATCAGAATGCCACAGCATCAAAAAAAAAAAAACAAATATTTACCTCAAACACGTCCAAAGCGCTTTTTGCGTTGAACTCGTTCGCAATCATTTTCAAATTTATGTAGTAGGCACTGTGTTCGAATTGAGCTTTTTTCGTGAAGGAAGCTTGTTCACTTCTCAATTTAAGGTACTCATAAAGATAACTACTACATTCGCCCTTGAGTACGGCTTTGATAGTAACTTCTCTTCTTGCTTCGTGTCTGCGCTCATAACTTCTAGATCATAGAGTAGCATAGAAGAAACTCGTTCCCGGCACTTTCCGAACACATGTGTTACACAATTATTTATACAGACAATGAATTGCATTGTACTCTAAAATTAAAAACCGCGATTGAAACCGCTTTACCTGATAATTGATTAAAAAATCTAATCATTATAGGTTTTTCTAACAGAAAATCTTTTTCAATCGCTTTCATACGTTTTCCTCAGAAAGTTTTCATAAGAGCGAAGTTAAGCTCATAGTAAATTATAGCAATACGATCTTCCTATGGCTGGCTTTGATTGGATGATCACAACAAAAACACATCCGTATTTTCCCGTGAAATACGAGTTTCTTCTATGCTTCATAGAGTTGGGTGTTTTTATATGTTAACGCCATCATATGATCTGCAAGTGTCTTCAGTTACACAAAGTTTGACCAATAGGATTAAATGCACATGCAGATCGGCACTTAAATTCCTCAAATTTGGATTGGTAGTCCGGTCCCTAAGAGGACCGTTATCATAGTACTTACGGTCCGGTCCTTCGGTCCCATAACGATCCTTTAAGGGTAGGGTATCTTTTAATTCGATGCTATATGCAGAAATTGACCCAAACAAATGATGATCATCGATTTGTGTAACCTGATAAAAATAGCAGTCAGGGAATATGTCCCGCAGATCGATTTCACATAATAATGTTACACAATAATTTTATACTTACTATATCGATCGTTATAAGAAAACTTGCAAAACCCTCCAATTATTCGACCTTTTTATTTTAATAAAACTTGTTTTACGTGCTCTGTTACGTTTACAAATAGCTTTTTTACTTGGTTTTTTATTTTATTTTTCTTATATATATTATTTTTAGACTTATTGCCTGCATTATTTTCAGGAAGAAAAGCTATTCAATTTTCTTTAACGGATCAGGCTAGTATAGGCAGTAAACTTCATGGTTATTTTGAATGAAATTTAGAATTTATTATTAATTTTTGTTAATACAATAGATCTAAGATTTTGCTATATTTCTATATAATTAGAAATTCATTCAACATAGGGACTAACAAGGTCGGATAAGATCAAATGCTCAATCTTTCTTAGCTAATAAATATTGTTTAGCTAAAACATTAACTAATTTTTTAACCTGTCTTCCTTTTACAACTGGTTCTTTAGTTTTGTAAACATCTTCATGTAAAATATTATATAATCGAACAAGATCTTTTCTGTAAAAATTGAACATTCATGTATAACCCTCATTATTCATTTCTTGTTTATACTTGAAAAGATTATGCTGAGCAGGATCAGGAAAATAAAATGCGAAGGTAAGTTTATCAACAAGCTGCCACATAGCTTCAGTATATTTTTTAACTGCTCAATCTCCAGTATTAACTATATTATCTTCTACAAACTCATCATATAATAGCAGTATTCTTTCACGCTTATCTTGAATCACCATTATTTTTTGTTTAAGAGTGTCTGGATTTGATAAACCAGAAGTTAAATTTTGCTTAACAAATTTAATTCCATATTACTCCAAGGCTCATCATAAGCTAAATAGTGGTTTTTTCTTGTAATATTTACTAAAGCAACGTGCTTAAATAGTTCATATTGCTGAGGATTACGTGATACTGATTCTAAAAAGGTCACAACTGATGATGTATAAATATTTTTACCAGTAGCAGGAAATAGTAGTGCAAATGCCGCCAAGCTTTTTAATTGCATATCTGCATTACCCAAGTGAATACCGATATGATGAGCCTTCTAGTACCCAGCTAAACGGTAATACAAAAACCATACTTTTAGAATATTGTTATTTCCTCTGAATATAGTTTCTGTATCTAACTGTATATTGTTATTGTTTAAATAAAGGCGAATTGCTATTTCTACGGCAGTATGAATTAATTCTAATACTCTACAAGTTGCACAGTAATCTACATTTTGCTCTAACTTGTTAAGAAATCGGACGCCAAGCTTTGTCGCCATACTATAAATACCATATCCACTAAATGCTGCAATTAATGCACTGCACATGGCCTTTGAAGTATGCCATTGTTCAAGAATAAATCTACAAGTTAAGTTGTTATTTGCATATTTTTTTGTTCTTGCAAAAATAGCTGTGTCGTGTGCTAAATCAACACCATTTTGTTCAAGATCCCTAAATACATATTGATTGATTTAAACACGGCTTCATTGCTATTAGGTGCTGGTCCGGGTTCTAATATAACAACATTTGGTGGGTTTACTCGATACCCTGGTTCAACAATAGAAAGTATTTCAGTATTCATTTCTTCAATTCCAAAATTTTTGTTATACCTAAATATTAATTGGTTTATTATTCTATCAAAATTTTCATCCCAATTGGACGTAAATACAGATTGACCAAATAAATTTGGTTGAGATTCTGGATTTACTTAAGCAAGAGATGAGAGATTGAATGGAAGTTCAAATTGAAACACCATTCTTAGAGTGGTATACGCAGATTGCTGCGTAATATTATATATATTTCCATATTTAAAAACAATATCCTTGAAGTCAATGTTATCAATTACAGCAACGTTCTATATATTCGGACCTTTGATTAATCTTGCCAAAGGATTGGATTTGTTTATACGCTCTTTTTCCAATCTTGTTTCGTGTTTCCAGATGTGAGATGTAATATATACCGTACATAATATGGCTTGCAGGGAAGATATTAATTTAGGCTTTTTACATAAAGAAGCCATGGTATAAGTAAGCCATATTTTCTATGAACGAAACATTATTGTCAAAATAATAGATGCAAGAAATGATGTAATCTTTTTTATAGCAATTTTATTAAATTCAGGTTCCTTTTTTCCACGTTGTCTATTTTTTTTTTTTCTTACTTCATATTTTCGTCTTTCAATAGATTCGATTAATCTATCAAAAAAACCAATAAGAACCAAAGGAAAATTGTTATAATATTCATCTAATGAGGAGGTGTTTTCTAATTTATCACGATTTTTTTCAATATCTTTATGTGAATTACATATTGTATTTCCCAACATTTCTCCAAATTGACGGCATTCTTCTACTTTTACAAGTTTTTTATCTGTAGGCGAAGAATAATCAAACTTCTTAATTTTCATGGCGATTTTTACAAGCAATGGGCTAGATAAATCATACTCTGTATCTATCGAAGAAGAAAATAATGATCCCGGGCCCGGGGTTTCCAATAATTTTATAATATGCTGTAATACTTCTTTTTTATTTTCATTTTGAGAATGCGAGAGGTTAAATAACCAAGATGAGAAAAGCTTTAAAATACGATTAGTATCTTCTACATGCAATTGATTATCAATACAAGTTTGAGACTTTTCAGGTCCTGCACGTTTATGAAGATGCCCACTATGTTTTTCAAAGCATTTTGTACAGATATATCTAACATGTCTGTCATTAATAGTAAACCTCAAAGTAATATTTGGAATTTTATAAAATACTGGGCATGACTTCAAACCAAGACATGGGACTTGAACGTCTCTCTTGCATACATTCCAACAATGTTCTATGCAATCACTACCTTGGCTAAAGAAATTTTTATATTCGTTACAAAGTAAGCACTTTTTTTTATAAACTAAACTTTTAGTATAATGTCTTAATGATTTAGTACCAGATGAATGAAGTTGCCCATGATCGAAGTTGAAATGATTGGAACAAACTCCCAACTTAGTTAAATCTAAAGATTCTTCTAAAGTCAATTCTATTTCCCATGTTCTGACTAATTGTGTCAATGATACTAGAGACTCTACTGAATTGCAACGCCCAATTACTCCACTTAAATTATCAACGATAATGCAAGGTGAACATTTTTTTGTTGTAATTCCTGGAATTTCATAATAATCCATATCATCATCTTCATCATCATTATACCCAGATAATGTATCTTCGATATCATTATCTTCATCTTGCATTACTTGATCTTCTAATAAATCTTTTGCCCTAGTTGCAGCCAGATAATCATGAGTAAACACGAATTCCTGATCGTTCGGATCAGTATTCCAAGTTTCTTCTTCCGGACCTTCATACGCAAAATAATTGTAATATTCTTCCATTGTAACTTCTTCCATTGTAACAAATTACTTATTTAAATTTTTATTAGATAATGTGTATTTTGTAGATAATGTTTATTTTTTAATGCGAGATGAAGAAGTTAAGTTGTCTTATTTATAGATTATGAATTTTGCTACTTGAAACATTTAACAAAGATATTATTTAACAAAGATATTATTTAACAAAGATAATTTAAAAAGTGTTTTATAAACGATTCAAAAGATGAATGTTTTAAAAAAAGCATTTGAACAAGGCATTTTAGAAGTGGTTCAAAAGATGAATGGTTTAAAAAAAGGCACTTGAACAAGGCATTTCAGACAAGGCACAAACGTTTCAGAAATTTGAACGAAGTTTTTAAACAAAGGATACATTTGATACTTTGTGAACAAAGATTTAAACATCTTATCAATATTTTATTTCCATTTTCATTATACGTTAGATATCAAATTTAATTTATCTTTTAAAATTATCATTACGGTTTAATTATGATTTAATCCTAATTTTATTACAATTTGTAATTAACGATCAATTAATGCAAATAAAAAAAAAAATTTAATGTACATAAAAAATTAAAAAAAAATTACATAATAAATAATACAAAGTAACAACTTTTTATTTTTAATAAAAATAAGTTATACATTTTAAATCACAAAATTTCTATGAATTCCAAACAATCGTTTAAACCAAACATATATTTTGACTTTACCAAGTCAATATGCATGATACACAAGAGCGAATCCACCTTTTAAATATATCGAGAATATCTTTAAATTCATCATAAAGAATCTATAATAATTAACATTTTTCAATCAGCATTTTTTTAAATCATCATTGACTTATATTTTACTATAAGAAAATAAATAATTAAATGATATTAATTACCTTTAAATGTTTCACTATTGTTACCATATCAGCGACTTTTTTAGAATTCAAAAATCCTTCATCTTTTTATAACAAGAAATCAACCATATATGTTCCATTGGCGTTCTCTGCAAATCTTTAATAATATTCGAAAACCTTTTGTTTATCCTCTTCAATGCTGATTCCAGAAAAGCTACGATCAATATTACATATTCGTTAAATTAACTTGAATCAAGAGATAAAAGAAAGTAACCGGTTAACAAAAAAAAAAACGAAATTAAATAAAAAGAGATTTCATAAGAAGAATACTATTCTTTTATAATTATGCTCTGAAGCTTAGTAAGGCTTTTTCTGATTACTGTAGGAAAACCCTGACGTGAATTAGCTATTGTGGTGTAGAGATTCTTCACATTTTGGTACAGTCAGACCTCTCTATGTGCACAGATTATGTAAATTTTCTCTAAATGCATGGTATAGTCCGGTCCCAACTTATAAAAGCTCTATATATTTTGCTTTCTATAAATGCACACCCTTTCTAGTTCACACTTTTTAATTTTTTTCCTATAGTCCCGAAGGGGTGCACTTAAGAAGATCTGACTGTAATGCCGAAAATATTTATTATAAATGATGGTAAAATTTTAGTAAAAAGGGTTTGAAAAGAACGTTGCTTTAGTAAATCACCAGTTTGAAGTTAAGAAGTTTGGCGAGTTAGGGATTTTCAAATTTTTGATATAGGCAAAATTCAGAAACATTAACAATCTTTAAGCCCGACATTATTTTCCGCTTACATATAAATCGGGTTTCAAACTTATACTATTTAATAGAGCAAAACCCATAGAATAGCGTTATTTAGAGAATATTTTTAATATCTTTCATGTATCACGTGGTTCAATTAAAAGCGAATAAAAACTTTTGAAAATTTTCATAGCAAATTTTAAAAATTAATCTACATTTTTACTATGATCATGCGCTCACATATTTGGACAGGTGGACATATTCCCTGACTGATATAATGAATTAGATAAACTACCAATAGATTTAATAAAGGTTTGGTCTGCAAATAATTTGAGAAAATATTAACACACCTTTCATTTTTTATACATTCTGTAATAATTAACTGCGCCATATATTATTAAGTCATTGTTACTGTATTAGTTAATAATAATTCGATCATAATTATTAATAATTCGGTAATGTACAAAACAATTTTGACAGATCGGTGTTCTTGCATATTGGCCTATTAGAAGTTTTTTTTTTTATCGAATCCGGATTTGAATTTAGATTCGGTCCAGTATTTTCGGATCGGGTCCGGATCTTTCAAAATATCTGTCCGTGCAGAACACTTAACATCACAAAAATCAAAAACCGCAAAAGCCGTCTATCTTGAGCCTGAAAGAATTAGTGGGCATGAACATGGCACTGAAAGAAAAAAAAAAAAACAAAATAAATTCTTAGTTGTACGCTCCAAGCTAGGAGACACTGACGACCAGGTAACGCCCCAGCACGAATAAATGATAGCAACTACGAAAGAGACTCAAAACTGGACGACACCAACAACGAAAGAATCCAGATAACATGCAAGCAACGAAAGAACGCCGAAACGGAAGATATCAACGAAAAAGCCTCATATAATGCACCTGCGCAAAAGACCCCAAACTGGACAACACCAGCGACGACGACACCAACGACGAACAAAATAGTAAATAGACATATTTTAGTATTGTTGTTTATTCACATAAAATTTTTGTACATTAAGATTTTAGAATATCTAAAAGACAAAAGATTAGAGAAAAATTTTTCTTTGTAAAAACTATTTAGATCCCAAATAAACTTATATGAAATTAAGGCATTAAAAATAGAATCTGTAAGTGGGTTATCGTCACTTGTGATAGTATTCCTTACCACTATGCTACAAAATTAAGAAAGAAATTCCCCTAGTTAGTTCTTATACCAGTCTAAATATAGATCACAGAACCAGATTAAAGTACTTCAAAAAGTAATCAAACCTAGGATTTCTAATCTTTGTTTTTTAGAACTTATTCCGATAACACTTCTTCTATATTAGATTTTAGTTTTTCACAAGACGATATCAATACAATTAGTTTCGCCCCTTCATTATCAAATAAGAATTCTACGGGAACATTAACAGAAGATACAAAATCTTAATTCAATATTAAGTCAAGATTCATGTTTTTAATTATGTTAATTTGAAAGATTTATTAAATTAATATTTATGAAAACTGTTATTTAAATCAAAAAGTTTATTACAATAAAAAAAATTACCTCTGAGCTGATGTCAATGATTGATTGAATTAAAAACTCAGTAAATAAAGCTTATTTCGATGTTCGAAATTTTTAATCGATGATCCAATCATTACAATTGAGAATCAAGAGATAAAAGAATAAAGAAAAATAGTTACTTATTCACTTTCATTTAAGATAAAACACTGGTAAAGTCGATAAACCCTTACCTTTGTAGTGAGACGTTGATGACCCTACCTTGATTTGCGCAATCGTGATCACTGAGGGCCGCGACATATACTCTCAAAATATATATTCATTAATTATTAACCTAATAATATCTGATTTATATTACCTGCGTCTCTTTTATTTTTCGCGGCTTTGCTTTATACGCAATTTGAATTCATAGATCTCTGTACTCGATTAGTTCCACACTGCGATACCTACGAAGCATAAAAAAATAAAAATAAATATGTTTGTTTAATTAAACCGTTTTTCTATTTAACAAATCCATTGGTTTTATAATAAAAAAAAAGAACAGTATGTATATGTTTTCAAACTTACGGCAGGTAGTTCAAACCCGGTAGGCAAAGAAACCATTCAGATATCCAATAGCGCCTCTATGGGCTCTATCGGATTCGAACCTAGGACCACATTAGCAATGGTGATGTTCCTAATTATAATCCCTGACCGCCGTAACAGTTATTCAACATTGGATCTGATACAAAAAAAAAAAATTTTAAAAAAAATTTAAGTGTTTGTTATTTTATCCGATTGGTCGATTCTCCATAGCCAAATTTACGTCATTGTGAGATTCTAGTACCCTAGCCATGGCGAAAAAAAATTCTCAAATCACGTGCCGTAGATCAATTTTTATGGATTTCTATTGGACACCATATCGATAACCCTAGATAGTCTAGTTCTTATA